ATGACGGAATTAATATTAAGGTTAGCAGAAGCTAGGATGAGTTTTTTTAAAACCTTAGCTATTCAGCTCAAAGGACACAACTGAAATCAGATGTAAGAATAGTTTCTCCGAGAAAAAGGAGTTTATTCACAGCAGTTAGGTTACCTCAATCTAGCAGTTTCAGTTTGTGAAAATTCTAGACGTACAGTGTTTGGTAGAAAACTGCATGGGTTATTCAAAGTGGAGAAAGAGATGCAGGCACAGTTACAACATTTAAAAGACACTTAGGTAAGTATAGAACAGAAGAACCAGGAGCAGGAGCAGGCCATCTGGCCCTTTAAGCCCTCTTGCCATTCAAGAAGATCATGGCTGATCTTTTCGCGGCCTCCGCTTCACTTCCCCACCCTATTACCATAACTCTTAATTCCTTTACTGTTCAAAAAGTTAGCTTGAAAAACATTCAATGAGGAAGCCAGAGATTCACAACCCTTTGGGTGAAGAAGTTCCTCCTCAATTCAGTCCTAAATCTGCTCCCCCTAATTTTGAGGCTATGCCCTCTTGTTCTAGTTTCACCCGCCAGTAGAAACATCCTCCCTGCTTCAATCTGATCTATCCCCTTCATAATTTTATATGTTTCTATAAGATTCCACCCCCTCCATTCTTCTAAATTCCAATGAATATAATCCCAGTCTACTCAGTGTCTCCTCATAAGCCAATCCTCTCAACTCCGGAATCAACTTAGGTGAATCTCCTCTGCACCCCCTTCAGTGCCAGTACATCCTTTCTCAAGTAAGAAGACCCAAACTGCATGTAGTACTCCAGATGAAGCCTCACCAGCACCCTATACAGCTGTAACTCAATTTCCCGGCCTTTAAACTCAATCCCTCTAGCAATGAAGGACAAAATTCCATTTGCCTTCTTAATTACCTGCTGCACCTGCAAACCAACCTTCTGCAATTCATGCACAAGGACACCCAGGTCCCCCTGCACAGCAGCACACTGCAATCTTTTACCGTTCAAGTAACGGCCCTTTTTACTGTTATTCCTACCGAAATGGATGACTTCACATTTATCAAAATTGTACTCCATCTGCCAGACCTTTGTTCACTCACTTAAACTTTCTATATGCCTCTGCAAACTTTCAGCGTCCTCTGCACACTTTGCTCTATCCCTCATCTTAGTGTCGTCTGCAAACTTTTACGCACTACACATGATCCCTAACTCTAAATCATTTATGTAAATTATAAACAATTGCAATCCCAACACTAATCCCTGAGGCACACCGCTCGTCACTGATCGCCAACTAAAAAAGCACTCATTTATCCCCAGTCTTTGCTTCCTGTTAATTAACCAATTCTTTATCGATGCTAATACACTGCCCGTAATGTCATGCACCTTTATCTTATGCAGCAGCGTTTTGTGCGGCACCTTGTTGAATGCCTTTTGGAAATCAAGAAAGAGCACTTCTCCTGGCTCTCTGTTGTCCACCACACTTGTAATGTCTTCAGAGAATTCCAGTAAATTCATTAAACATGACCTGCGCTTTTTTGAGCCCATGCTGCGTCTGCCCAATGGGACAATTTCTATGTAGACGTCTTGCTATTTCTTCCTTGATGATAGATTCAAGCAATTTCCCCACTACAGAAGTTAAGCTAACTGTCCTATAATTTCCCCATCTATTGTCAACCTTTTTTTAAACAGTGCGGCACATTTGCCAATTCCAATCTACTGGAAGTGCCCCAGAGTTCAGCGAATTTTGAAAAAGTAACATGAGCGCATTTGCTATTTCTCCCGCCATCTCTTTTAGTCCCTGGGATGCATTCCATCAGGGCCAGGAGGCATGTCTATCTTTAGCTTCATTAGCTTGTCCAACACTAACTCTTTCGTGATCATGATTGTTTCTAGGTCTTCACCTACCTTAGTCTCCTTGTCATCAATTACTGGCATGTTATTCGTGTCCTCCACTGTGATGACCGACAAAATACCTGTTCAATGTCTCAGTTATTTCCTCATTTCCCATTATTAAATTCCCCTTCTCATCTTCTAAAAGGATCAATATTTACCTTAGCCGTTCTTTTTGGCTTTGTACATTTGTAGAAACTTTTGCTATCTGTCTTTATATTCTGAGCTAGTTTACTCTCATAATCTATCTTACTTTACTTTCATAGCTTTGTTTGAGGCTTTCTGTTGAACTTTAACGTTTTCCCAATCTTCTAGTTACTCACTGGTCTTTGCTACTTTGTGTGCATTGTGTTTCAATTTGATAGCCTCCCTTATTTCCTTAGGCATCCATGGCTGATTGCCCCTTTTTCTAGTTCTTTCATTTCACTGGTATATACATTTCTGAGCACTTTGAAAAATTGCTTTGAAAGTCTTCTACTGTTCCGCCATAAAATCTTTGCTTCCAGTCTACTTTAGCTAACTGCTCCCTCATCCTATTGCAGTCTCTTTTGTTTAAGCACAGGAGCCTGGTATTGGATTTTATCTTCTCACTTTCCATCTGTATTCTAAATTCAACCATATTGTGATCACTCCTTCCAAGAGGATCCCTAAGTATGAGATCATTATTATTCCAGTCTCATTACACTGGAGCAGATCTAGGAATAGCTTGCTCCCTCATCGGTTCCACTACATACTGTTCAAGAAAACTGTCGTAGATACATTCAATGAACCCCTCCCCTCCTCAAGGCTGCCTTGACCAAGCTGGTTTGACCAATCGACATGTAGATTAAAATCCCCCATAATAATTGCCATACCATCTTTACAGACATTAGTTATTTCTTTGTTTATTGCCCGCCCCAATGTGATATTATTTGGTGGCCTATAGACTATGCCTATTGGTGACTTTTTCTTCTTAGAATTTCTAATTTCCACCCAAATGGATTCAACCTTATTCACTGTAGAACCTATATCATCTCACTACTGTCCTGATGTCCTCCTTAAATATCAGAGTTACACCACCTCCCTTACATTCCTGTCTGTCCTTCCGAATAGTCCGATACCCCTGGATATTTAATTCCCAGTCATGACCATCCTGCAACCATGTGTCCGTAATGGCTACTAAATCATACTCATTCACGATAATTTGTGTCATTAACTCATCTGCCTTGTTTCAAAAGCTACAAGTATTCAGGTAAAGTGCCTTTATGCTAGTTTTTATACCTTCTTCTTGAATTCTAACATCTCTATTACTAATATCTCTTGAGTTTTCCTTCCTTTTAGCTTCTTTCAGTCTTTGATGGAGTAAAACCCTCCTGCACACGTTAACCTGCTTTCTTCTCTATTTACCATTATATTTTGTGTCGTTATCCCCTTCCCTTCCCCCTCAATTCTAGTTTAGAGTCCTATTTATCCTTTTCGCTAGAACACTGGTTCCAGATAGTTTCGACCTGAACCGTCCCAACAGTCCAGATTCCCCAGTTCCAAAACTGATGCCAACACCCCATGAAATGGAACCCCTCTTTCCCACACCACTTCTTTAGCAATGTGTTTACTTCCCTAATATTTTTTATCCCTAAACCAATTTTTACGTGGGTCAGGTAGCAATCTGGATATTATAACCCTTGAGGACCTGTTCCTTAATTTCATTCTTAGTGGTTGATAATCCCCAGACAGGTCCTCCTTCCTAGTCTTGCCTATGTTATTTGTCCCAACGTGGACCACAACAACTGGATCCTTGCCTCCCTGCTCCAATATCCTTTCAAGCCGATCACAGATGTCCCTCACCCTGGCACCAGGCAGGCAATGCACCATGCAGGACTCTCAATCCTGCTTACAAAGGATGCTATCAATCCCTGAATTATAAAGACCCTACAACTAACACTTGTCTTTTTGCTCCCCGTCTTGAATGGCCTCCTGTATCACGGTGCAGTGGTCAGCTGGCTCATCCTCACTACAGCTCTTTTCCTCATTCTCACTACAGCTCTTTTCCTCATCCTCACTGGGAGCAAGTACTGTGTACCTGTTGGACAAGGTCAAGAACTGAGGCTCCTCCTTTCCCTACCCACCTCAAAGCCTGCTGTTCCTGATCACTGACTGAATTTGAAGCACTTAACCTACCAGGTGTGACTGCCTCCTGAAGCATAGCATCCAGGTACTTCTCCCCCTCCCAGATGTGCTGCAGTGTTTGAGCTCAGATTCCAGCTCATCAACTCTAAGCCAAAGTTCCTCGAGCAACCAACACTTCCTGCAGATGTGGTCCCTGCAGCTCGCAATGGGAATTGCCAGCTTCCACATCATACAGCTACAGCACAGCACCTGCCCAGCCATCTTCACTTAGTTAATCACTTTATTAATTTGTATAAATTCATTAATGAGTTAATTAACTTATTAATACTTCTCTCCGGTGTTCTTTTTCAAATTTAATGCAGATTTCCTACAGCCAACCAGGTCAGAGCTTCCCGTGACATCACAATGAGGTTCATTATTAAAGAGAAAAAGGATGCAAAGCATCTTTATCCAGCTGGCAGAAGATCGACAAATCTCTTATACAGTACGACAATCACATAGCACGGAAACAGACTCTTCCGTCCAACTCATCTGCATCAGCCAGGCAACCCAATCTGACCTAGTCCCATATCCTTTAAACTCTTCCTACTTGTATACCTATCCAGATGCCTTTAGGAAAAACAAATAAGCTTTTCATAACCAAAATGGCTATATATCCTTGTGCAAAGAGAAGTAAATTCTCACAGCTAAAGTTAACAAAGAAAATAGAAGTAGGCCATTCTGCTCTGCAAACCATTTTCCACCATTTGTTATGATCATGGCTGATCATCCAATTCAGTATCCTGTTGCCACTTTCTTCCAATATCCTTTTGATCCCTTCAGCACTAAGAAGTCCAACGCCTTCTCGAAAACACACAGTTTTGTCCTCAACTGCTTTGTGTGTCAAAAAATTCCACAGGCTCAGCACTCTCTGGGTGAAGAAATTTTGCAATGTGGCAGTCATAAATGGCCTATCCCCATACCCTCCTACGGTGTTTATCACACTGCATGTGAGGGAATAAGAAAGGACTCACCTTATGCGCCCAGCTAGAAGTACAGCCAATAGGCAAGTGAACAGACCAGTGGTAACAACAGCCATTTGGTGGTTCTTCCCATACTCCCACATGGCTTGCAGGTTTGTCAGCATTTCCTCTGGCAGCACATCCCACAGCTGTTCCCAGCCAGTGACATTTTCAACAGGATCAGATACTGAAATAGCTTCGTCGCTGCTATTGGATAGATGTGATACCGGATCGACCACATGCATTTCGGCTGGAGGTTTCTGGCCCATAAATGAATCACCTGATCCATATACTGCCATGGCAACCAACACAGCACAACTAAAAAAAGCCACAAATCGAAGGAGTAATACTTTGAGCGGAGTGGAAAGGCTGGAATAATGAGAACTCTGAAAAATAAAAGAGGGAATAGTTAGAGGCACTGAACACATGGAATCTCAGCCATATCTTATGTAAAAAAACAAACCTTATGAAATCGGGTGTGGAATCATAGAATGATACAGCACAGAAACAGACTTAATTTTATCATCCCAGCACCAACTGTTTCAAAAGCTATCCAATTAATCTTGTACTCCTGCCCTTTCCACAATGCCCTGCAAATGTGTCCAATTCCTTCTTGAAGATTAATGAATTTGCTTCCACCATTCTTTAAACATTCAGTTTTTAACAAAGTTAAACCAGAAGAAAAATTGCAGCACACAAATAGGCCATTCTGGCCATTGTGTAGCATTAGCTGAAAAATAAACTTGCTGCCCGTTCTAATCCCAGTTCTCAGCAGCTGGCCCTTAACCTTGCAGGTTACAGCACTTCAGGTACAGAACCAGGTGTCTTCCAGATGAGTTCAGGGGAGTTTTGACCTGCACTACCAACCCAGGCAGTGAATTCCAAATACACACCGCACACTAAGTGAAAAGGTTTTCCCTTGCATCCCCTCTGCTCCTTCAACTAATCATCTTAAAAATGGTAAGTGACCTGTTTTTAGGGCAAATCAGGTTTATTCTCTCCCCACTATCCAGGCCCCTCAATTTTGTACACCACAAATTGAACCATCCCCTAGCCTCCTCTGTTAAGGAAAACGACCTTTAACCTTTTGAATCTTCCCTCATATCTGCAATTTTAAAGCCTGGCAATATTACTGTGGAAACATTACACACCATGTCCTAATCAACATTTATCCCACAGCCAACACACCAGAAACAGATTGTGCAGCCACTTATCTTATTGCTGTCTGTGCAATTTTCTAAGCTGGTTGCTAAACCCCAGTACGTAATAAGTTGTAATGCAGAATTTTGAAAGGCAAGTCCTTTGTTTGTTAGTTCAATGCCACTAGACAATCTCTCAGGTTTCACACTTGGCACTCAGATTATACACAAGTTAAGAAGTCATATCTACTACTACACACCACTTCCTAAGAACACACTTCAAACCAAAAGGCAACGTAATATAATACAACTTAGCTAGAATAGAAGGGATGCCACTAATCCACAAGGGTGACTACTTCCACTGAAGATGAAAAAACTGGTCAGTCTATTAGAATATTTCTTTTCAACCCTGTATGGAGCAAATATCCTTGTGGCCTACGCAAAGAACGCAAGTTATTAGCGTGGAACATGTTCCGATTCCTTCCTTCCTTCCTGTAAACTTCAATAAACACCAAAATCAAAAGTATAAAATTTGCTTCATTGTGGGCCAGAAAGAACAAGAAATTAATACTTGCACATACCTGGTTTGAGATGAATTTTAAAGGAATGAGTAAGGTAGGTATAACTCATCTACATCCAAAACGAACAGAATGAGAAAAGCTGTCAACATCAAAAAGCACCTCAAAAGCTCTCTTTTTAATCTCACTTAGAAAGGATAATTTATGTTTTCCCCTCTGCAGTTAAGAGAACTAAAATAGCCAACAGTAAAAGGCTGAAATATCTGTATCTATTTGCTAAACACTAAGTGATGATGGTTTATCGAATCAATACCTGTAGTTCTTTGAAACATCTTTCTTAACATATTTATCCTTAATTATTTATTTCTGCCAAATTCCTCCAAGCTGTCTTGTTATTACACTACAACTGGTAACTTACTGACAGATGAATATTGTTGGTTCTGACATAACGCAATAGTTCCATTCTCGTGCGATCTTGCATTATAAGAAAATCGTGGAACAGTCGCACCATTTAAACTAATGGGGCCAGAATCGGGTTATAGCCAATACAGGTAAGGAAGGTCTGCATTCTACAAATAGCAGTCTAACTTCTTCAATCGTGCAAAAGCCAATTCGAGTTGAAGAAACAGGTGCTATCGCAGAACTGACTGTACAGGATAATGCCCATTACAAGGGAGTCCAGGTCCATCAAAGCCTGAAAATGGTTGAGACAGAAATTTATGTACACACTGGCATTTGTAAATTCAGTGGCAAATTGTGAAAAAAAAACAGGAAAGTTCTTGCCATTTGAGAATATGTAAATTGGGGATATCCAAGTAATTCAGTATCAGCAATAATCAAAAGTAAACATATCTGCCTTGTGTTCCTATTCAGCTCCTAATGCCAGCAAGATAATTTCATGGTAAAAGGTTAGAGATTCCCTTGGTCAACAGAGGAGGGCTACTGAGCAGCTCCTCACAAGCACTGCAAACAGTTGCATCTTCAAAGCAGTGTGTGTGCAAGCTTGTGCATGTGTTTGCAGTTCAAAGCAAGAATTAACTGCTGCAGAAAACAACAAAAATAATACACCTGAACAACACATACTGTTATTAAGGTGCAAAATGGCCAATGCCTTGTGATAACACAGGTAACAGAATTACTAGAGGTTTGTTTGCCGATCAGTGCCAGTGCATTGCTGCTCCTGAGATGTAAACATCTGAGTGAGAGATCTACAGCACACAAACAGAACCTTTGTTCCATCAGGGTTAAAAACAACCACCAAACCAATTGAATCCCATTTTCCAGCACTTAGACAATAGCTTTGTATGCCTTGGCAGCTCAAGCGCAAATATAAATACTTCCATGAATCTCTTGATTCTGCATTGAATTGTCATTTCAGTTAACGTGCTCAGGTCTTGGGAATTAAACTGATGATCTGATGACTGTAAGATGAGAACATTGTCACTGATCCAAGGTCAATATCATAAATTAGAATAAACTATTCAAAGCTGGGTTTATACAACAGTAATGCTGCCAAGGTTTTAAAATTGCTGTTATTAGGAATGACGAAATGGGTTACGTTTTGCTTTCCTTAGAACTGGAGTTGCTACTGAATTCATATTCAATCTTAGTCCTTTCGTGTGTACCTCGCAATCCTTTAACTTCACTGATTTTGAAGTGTCATTTGCCACATTGTTCACCAAAGTTTCCAATGCCCCACCGCCTTCACCCTACCATTATCAGCTCAAGATCTGCTCAAAATATTTTTAAACTCTGACAGTCTAAGTAACAGCTTGAGCAACTAGACATCCCATTCCATCAGAATGTGGCCAATGGTATTCCTACAATTAAGGGTTGTTATCAGCAAGCTTCACTCAATGAAATTGAACTTAACTTGTTGGGTGACACATTGATTAAGCAGCTCTGACAATGCAATGAGCCGCACATTCCAGATCACATGGACATAAGAAACAGGAGGAGTAGGCCATTTGACCCCTCCAACCCACTCCACCACTCAACAAAGGTGATGACGGACTGTCCCAGGCCTCAACTTCTCTTTAGTACCTGCTGTCAGAAGAATTCTCAAGTTGCCTCTGGTTGGCTTGCTAATTACTTTCATTCTTATGTCCTTTACAAAGCAAATTATGGCAATCCCGAATGCACTGTTTGAAAGAATCAATAATTTTCAAAAGGAATTGCACATATGTTTGAAGAAAAAATGAACAGAGGTCCACTAAGAGGAGAGTTGCATTAACTATACAGCTCTACCAAAGAGACAAATTGGGCCAAAGGGTCTCCCTCAGTGCTGAATCAAGCATTCCATGACTGATTCTAAACGGGATTTGAACCACCGCTATTGTGCTGCATAACGAAGTGGCATTGGAAACTGAAAATGAGCCATTTTCAAACTTAGCAACTGCTGAACTATGAACAGTTTACTCCTGACAGTTCCCCTCACCTGCTTAAAAAATGTTCTTTTTAATGCTTCAACACTAGTAACAATACATTTTTATTTGAGAGAAAATGACCATGGAGAGATCACACTATTAGTTGCAGATTAATTCAAACACACCACAGAATTTAACATCCTTTCCAGTAAAGAAACCTTCTAGCTGAAACTTGTAATCTGTCTTACTCATCATGTAACTACATACAAAGTGCTCCCTTTGGATTTCAGTTGTAAACTGATGATCTGACCACACCCTTTACTGGCAGAGGTGAAATATATCAAAAAAAAAATCACAGCTAAATGAAGTAACGTGCTCCTATCACCATACTGTCAAAATGTGCTTCAAGTGAGTACCAAACAATAAGTCAAATCTGTCATTATTAATATTTAAATGACTCAAAAGAGCACACATAAGAGGTACTGGGAAACTCAAAGGACAAAGACAATGCTGCATACTTTATTCTGGATAAACAAAAAAGACAAAAAAAATTAACAAAATAATAAATGAAATGCCACCAGAATCCTGCAGTGAAGTCAAACCAGAATACCTGTCCCTTTTTCCAACAAAGATCTCAAAGGCAGGAGCCTCATTATCAAAAGTCTCCAAAACTGCCACCTACTTTTTACTTTCTCTCTCTCTCCCTTCACTCCCACGAGCTAGTGGAAACAGTACCAAACAAATGAGAGATCACCGTGATTTTGCATCCAACCTCACCTGAACAAAGGTTTTGTCTGCTTCTCGACGACGAAGTTGATGGTCAAATAGAATTGCCCGAATCTGTCGGTCTTGGTGTTTGATATAATACTCCACTGCTGTCTGACAGGGACGGCATAGCTTGTAAGTCTGTTCAAGATGGTGTTTATATACCTCAATTTCTTCTTCATACTTATCCTGAGAAATACAAGAAAACATTAGCCATTAACCATTCAACAGAAGATGCACTTTTTACAAAAGGTGCAACTTGATTGCATCCAAATGCAAGAGAATTTTACAACGTAGGAGGGTGTCATTCAGCCCAGAGTAAAGTGTTTGCCAAACCTTTTCACACTGCAACCCTATTTCAGAGCTTAAACTATCACAACCCCTCAGGGAGCAGCAAGGGTGGGCTTAAGGGGGCAACAGTGCCACCTCAGAGCTCAAATTCCTAAAATGTCAACTAGTGGCTCCTCTTGGGGTCCCAAACCCCACTTGCACAGATGCTACTGCAAGACTTCCTAATTAAGAGAGGTGCTTCTAAGATTTTAGAGTAGATTTGTAGCTCGGGTTGTGGATGTTGTGGTTGGTTGGCTCGCCGAGCTGGTTCATTGTTCTGCAGGTGTTTCATTATCCTGCTGGGAAACATCAGGGCAGCCTGAGATGAAGCGCTGTTGTGTTTTCCCACCTGATATTTAAACTCTGGGGTCCGTTGAGCTGGATTACCTCGCTTCTGGTTTTCCTTCGCAGTGGAGTGTATATGGGGTCAAGTTCTATGTGTTTATTGATGGCTTTCTTAGTGGAATACCAAGCTTCTAGGAATTCCCATGCTTAGGTGCTTCCCAAGCATGGGAATTCCTAGCAGCCTGGCACTCCAGCATCTGCAGTTCTTGCTATCTCTGGATTTTAGTCATTCTGCTTGAAGACTTTTTTTTTGTTGACAGTGCAAATTATGTTTTTTTAGTTTGGGGGAGGGGGAGGGGGGTCTCCTGAGGAACAAGCTGTTCAGCTCTGCCTTTCTGAAGCACCACTGCTGTGAATCCAGTGCAAAACTGGACTATCCTCTGCTAAGAACATCTAGAAGACTTCCCGAATGTGCTTCCTGAGCAAGCAGTGTCTGCCAAGACCCAAGAGACAACTGTACTATCTAACGGTATGTGCTAAAACACCAACCATATGAATTTCCCATATCTTACCATATTGTTTCCTTCAAGAGTAACTATAATTGGCCAAAAGTGCAGTTTTCCTCCAAACTGAATAATGGAAGGATTTGAAAACAGGGATGAAAATAGTAATGAAGCATTACCACACCTGGGACCAATCCAAGCCAGAAAGCACATCTAGGCTTGATGCAAGTTCAGATATTGACGGCAGGGTTTTTGAAGAGTTTACAGAAGGTAGTAGACTGGAAACCAGCCAAAAGAAATCCTTATACAGGTGTATGAAACATTTCAACAGAACACATACCAAGGCCAGAGGTGTGGTCAGAACATGCTCCCTTTAATAGCTTTTCATTTTACATTCTGCCCTTGAATTTGCATACAAACTCATTGCAGCTCAGAACTAAGAGTGAGAACAGTTCAGGCATGTTTCTAAATTTCAAGTAAATCACTGCTCAGCACCTCTCCTACTCCCCTCCCACACATTTGATATCTTGATGAATTATTTTGGAAATAAGGATAAACACAGGAACGACTGCAGTCACATCGTTATTTGACAGAAAGCTACGGACGTTTATCATATAGAGTCACAGAGACGTACAGCATAGAAAAAGACCCTTTGGTCCAAGTCATCCATGCTGACCAGATACCCTAGATGAATCTAGTCCCATTTGTACCCATCCAGATGCCTTTTAAAATGCTGTAATTGTACCAGCCTCCACAACTTCCTCTGGCAGCTCATTCCATACACGCACAACCCTCTGCATGAAAAAGTTGCCCCAACGGTCCCTTTTAAATCTTTCCCTCTCACTTTAAACCTACGCCCTGTATTTTTGGACTCCCCCACCTCAGGGAAAAGACTTAGTCTATTTATCCCATCCATACCCCTCATGATTTTATAAACCTTTATAAGGTCACGCCATTGCCTTCAATGCTCCAAGGAAAATAGCCCCAGCCTATTCAGCCTCCCCCTATAGCTCAAACCCTCCAACCCTAGCAACATCCTCGTAAATCTTTTTTGAACCCTTTCAAGTTTCACAACATCCTTCCTATAGCAGGGAGGCCAGAATTGCACATAGTATTCCAAAAGTGACCTAAATGTCCGATACAGCTGCAACATGACATCCCAACTCCTATTCTCAATGCACTGACCAATAAGGGCAAGCGTACCAAATGCCTGCTTCACTATCCTATCTACCTGCGAGTCCACTTTCAAGGAACTATGAACCTGCACTCCAAGGTGTCTTTGTTCAGCAACACTCCCCAGGAGCTTACCATTAAGTGTATAAGTCCTGCCCTGATTTGCCTTTCTAAAACGCAACACCTCACATTTATCTAAATTAAACTCCACCTGCTACTCCTTGGCCCATTGGTCCATCTGATCAAGATCCTATTGTACTCTGAGATAACGTTCTGCGCTGTTCACTACATCTCCAATTTTGGTGACATCTGCAAACTTACTAACCATACCTCCTATATTAACATCCAAATAATTTCTATAAATGACGAAAAGCAGTGGACCCAGCAGCGATCCTTGGGCCACATGACTGGTCACAAGCCTCCAGTTTGAAAAGCAACCCTCCAATACTATTCGAGCCGGTTCTGTATCCATGTTGCATCTTTGGTGGGATCTTATTACACAGTACCTCTAAAGACAGACAGTCAATCTTCAAAAAAAACACACACACTTTGTCTCGATGACAAACATCAAGAATCATCCAGTGTAAAGTCTTACAACCTGTAATCTAGGCACTTGTGGCCTTGCTTTGTCTGAACAGTGGAGACTTTCTAAATTAGCTGCCTCAACTTCTGAGGTTGAGCAATACTAGTTATTCACAATGCCTCAAATTAACTAATCTTAATTAGTATTGCTGAAACACATTCCTTATGTGTAGTAGTGTTAGATGACATTTTTGTGCTCTACAAACTTTCGGAAGTTATGCCACTATCAAAAATCTGTCAGCAGATCACAGACAAAAAGCCCCTCTAAAAGCATCTTGGCAATCTTCTTAAACTGGATAAATCTCGACTTGCAATTGAATAATCACTTGAAAATACACACACAAAGTATTGACTGCTTAATACCAATAAACACATCACACAGGTTTGAAGTGTAAACAAACTAGGATCTGCAAAATAAAGTTAAAGCACTAAGACAATCACTGAAATAGAAGTCAAGAAATGTACCTGCACCAAAGACATTTTCCACAGTGTTCTCCTGTTCCAAAGGAACTGACAGACAAATCCCAAATATCCAATCCCACCAGTCACTCGAATGTGTAACCTAAACAATTACAGGCAACACACTCTCAAATGATAGCACCAGAGTCAAATTCAATCCTATTGCTGATATTTGTATGTGCCTATTTCCATACTGCATCACTCAGTTGTATTTCAGGCTCCAGGAATTATGCCAGTCATGTGGGCAACATTCACCTCAGTCAGCACGTTGTAGGGCCAAGTTCCACTCCAGAAACCTGAGCATACTTTTTCTAAAATATTCATAGAATACAGGTTGCTGGCTGGATCAGCACTTATTGTCCATTCCTAATTGCCTTCAATAAGGTGGTGTAGATCTGCTTTCTTAAACCACTGCAGGCCATATGATGCAGGTACACCTGCAATGCTGTTAGGGAAGGAGTTCCAAGATTTTGACCCAGCAATGGTGAAGGAACTGGGATATAATTACGAATCAGGATTGAATGTGGATCGGTGAGAAACTTGCAGGCACACTTAAAAGAAAATGTAAACGTTGGAATAATGGCTAGTTACATTCAAAAGTTCAAGCACCCAACAGACAAAACCAAAACCGGCAGCTACAGATTTTTTTGGTATTATGTCACTAAATGGCAAAACCTTTGGGCAGGCATCAAAAATTCAATTAAGAGATTAAAAACCTACCACAGTCAAGCGTAGAACTGCAAGACAACTCTTCTCCCAATCAATGTTATTGCATAAATAGTGATCTCTAGAAAGAATACTAATGAGGTGCCTGGTTTATAGTGGACAACCACAAATTTATCAGCCTTCACTTTAATCTGTGCATTCCAATAGGAAGAAGAGTAGGCCATTCACCCTGTTGAGCCTGCTGCACCATTCAATAAAATCACAGCTGATCTGGTACGATCTCAGCTCGACTTTCCTGCATGCTCCCCTTAACTTTTGACTCCCTTCTCTATCAAAAATACTTTTACTTCAGCCTTTAATAAATTTAAAAACCAGCTTCCGCTACCATTTGGGGAAGGGAATTTCACATCCAAAGAACATAGAAATTATATGAGTCTTAAAAGAAAGTGTCTTATTTCAAGCTACATCTCTAGGTTCAGTCTTCCTGATCTCAATTTTTGATAGAGTGCGGAGTTATAGAGATACTCAACTTTCATGATTTTGTCTGTGTAATTTCAACACACTACTTAACCAATTAGTCACAGCCACAGAAACACAGCAGCTGGAACAATTTTTAAACTGATCTTGATTTTGGTTCCTAAACACATTCCAGAAATTGTGCATGCTGAAAAAATGACAGAACACCAATAGTTTGAATACTAGGGAACATCAAGCTTAATTTGGTACTGAAATTTACTGATATCCAGTTGATAAAATTTTGATGTGTCTTGGAAGTTCTTGTATTACCAGAAATACAGTGAAGCAACAAGTAATTGGGATGATTAGTTTTGTATGCAGTCTAAAGTTACAACAAGTATAAGTGCAGCAAGAAGTGGTAGGAATTGTTTATTGAAATAATGTAAATGTAATCCTTCACTAATAAGCTGATTACTCAAGATGAAGGTATGATAAAGCCACAAATGTCAGTTTCATCAGTTCACACAAACATTTCCAACTATTTAGTTCACCGAGTAATGGGCAAGTGGAAGTAACTGGCAACGCATGTGAGATTTACTGTTGCATGATTTGGATTCGAGGTGCCATTACTGGAATGTAGCATTACAAATCCAAGGGCAACTAATACACTGACCATTGAGTGGATTAAAGCAATAAAAATATCAGCTTCCCCAAAACTGTTCAACCAAATCACAA